CAAGTCGGTGTTGCGTTCACTTTTCCGCTCGTGTCTCCGCCACCCACGATGCGTTGCCGCCACGTAGGAAGTCTCCCACATCCACCCGCGCGCTCGTTCCCGGTCGCGGAACTTGCCCGCGGAGAGAGGAGAGGTATTCTTTCGGCGACCAGCCACCCACTGACAGAGACGCCGGTGAATGGAGTCACGCGTTGGTCTTCGCAGTCCTAGCATACCCCGACTAAGAAACGCGATCTGTGATACACCATTTCACGTAAGGTTCGAGCACAGCTTTCGGTGCGCGATCCGATGAAGTCGGTCGGGCGTCGCCAAAAGTGCACTGTCATGGCGGTCGTCGTCTTCGTGATTTTGTTATTCCCCGCTGAATCGATGTCGCACAGTGAATGCGTCGTAATAGCCCGTTTCTATTTTTTTCTGCGCGTGTTTGTTTTTGTTGATGACGGAAGAACGCATCAATAAGGCGAGTGCCGTGAAGCCTAGCTTCGGCTACGCGAGGCCTTGGTGTGAAGCGGAGTTTAGGATATACTGTGGCCGACGCGCTCTCTTATAGCGTACGAAGTAAAAACTCGGGTTTGTATCCAGGTTTAGAAAGCGGGAAGCTTGTGGTGGTCGTTGCTGTTGATGGGAAAGTTGGTCAGTGCAGTCCAGCTACCATCCTCGTCTGTTTGACGTGCATCGTGGAGTAAGAATTACGAGGCGGAAAGCTGGTACAATGCAGCTTCGTGCGCTTCAGAAGACTCAAAAATGCAAAAACAAACATCAAACGCAAAAAAAAAAAAATATATATATATATATATGTCTGGGTTTTGCGGCGCTTGCGGATAATTAACCGAGAAAAACATGTAAGAAAAAACAAACCCACTTCAAAGTTTCGTAACACAAAAAAAGAAGAAAAAAAAAAAAAAAAAGAAGCGAAGTACGTCATAAAATTCGCGGCTCAGTGACATCAGTAATTCGTTTCTTTCGTCGAGATCCTTCGGGCTTCATCCATCATAAGCGACAGTTTTTTTTTGTTTGTTTTTTGTCGACAGGCCACATTTTGGTCCGAGTGCATACAATTCATAGTGAGTGAATTGACTCTCGACTATCTTACAACTATAACGCTAAAATTAGAAAAAAGGGAAGGTTAATCGTCGACGAATCTGTTCCCCAGCTTCAGCTAAATCACATAAAAAAAAACACAAAAACATTAACCAATTTTGCGCCTACTCGATAGGGCTCCCATGAACGTGCTGCGAATAAGAATTGACCACGTGTTACACTCAAACGACGTGTTAGCCCCGAATTCGTCACGATCATTAAGACACAGCTCTCCGTTCACGTTGCGCAAAGAAGGCAATGAAGGGCCCACCGTCTGCGACCCCGACGCCCCCCGATACGTTCGACGCCGATTCACTTTACGGCAAGCGGACGCCATCAGTCACCCCAACCAATCCACCACACTGGCCACATCACGTGACAACGCACCCTTCGCGTCGTCGCTACCCTCCCGAAGAGCACGTGACACTCCCGCGCCACCGGATTGGTTTGATTGGCTCGTAAAGCGTCCAGTGCGGTTCGGCGATGATGAAACGGAGTCTACTGTGCATAGCTCACGCCACCCATGCTGTGCAGTCCGGTTCTGACGGCCGACCCAGGTTGGGCCATCGTCACTGGCAGCCGCCGCCGCCAAAGTGCCCTTTTAATTGCAGCAGCGAGGGACGTAACAGCCCGACCACGTAGCGTTGGCCAGGCGTCGGCACGGCCGAACAATCGGCCTTTAAAGGCTGCTTTCGTTCATCCTTCGGAACATGTTCGTGACCGGGCCGAATGCAAATTCGGGTTTTTGCGTCCGCTCGGATCGTCGTAATGGGTCTGCGTGCGTCGGAGCAGACGGACCATTATGTCGGTCGAACGGCGTCCTCCGCCGCAAATCAGTATACGACTCGTGGTGAGGCGTGCAGCAAGGAGAAAGTCGGTTAATAATATTAACCTTACATCTCGGAACCGTGACCGGGGAGACATTGTGATGAGTTGGTTTCGTTCGTCTTTCTGGTGAGCACTGTACCGCGAAGAGGGATGAAGCGAGAATTGTGCGTACATCGGAACAGTTATGCCCTACGTCACAATTGCGTTTTGACTTGATTGTGATTTAATTAATTTTACCTCAAAGGCATATATAGTGATGCCTCAAAGGCATATATAGTGATGTCATGTATAGTGATGCGTTACACGAGGGTGAAAGCAAAAAATTGGGGTAAAAGTGGTAAAAAGTGGGATGTGTGTATATATATGTGGAGGTAAAAACAAAATTAAAATAAAAGTAGTGACAGACGTTGTGCTATATCTAGGATTCCGTACTTTCGGAGCCTATTTCTCGGGAAATTCGGAGGGTGTTTTTTTTTAATTATAATGCAATTCAATGCAAAGGGGCAAGCGAGCTGGACAAGAATGATGAAAAGAATTTGGAGTTTATTTTTCGCTGGAGATTCGGGGTCTATCGAAGTTCATTTTTGTTAGATTCCCAATGCTTCGAGGTTCGAAGTTTATTTTAATGCGTAAAATAAAAATAAAATTTGAAAACAAAATAAATGAGGTTTGTGTACCTGTCACAGGTTTTCTGATATTCTCTGTTTAAACACAAAGGACTGCCGACCAGGCGATAGGTCCACGCCTCGGTGGAGTCTTGCCAATGAAGGGGAGACCACAGTTTTGCAACGAAACGAATTTAATCCTACAAACAAAACAAAAGAAAACACAATAAAGGTAAGCAAGTGCCGAGCTGCGAAAACAACAGGACTCGAACACACTTCACCCGGCCGGTGCACGGGCGGCGAAGATAAATCACTCAACGCACAACGAATTAGGCAAAACCCAAAGTCTACCGCTCAATACAATGCAGTAACCATCTCTTACGCGGGAGCTTCCCCGAACATGAAAAAAAAAACAAAAAAAAAAAACTTCGGAGCTTAAATGTTATCAAATAATACAATCGGACACCCGTGAGAATAAAAACCAAGTACAGAAATACCGCTTCCTTAATTACTATAAAAAGGAAAGTGCGAGTGGAGGGGAAATCTCGTCTCACAGTGTCCGGGAGTGACGGTCTTGCGAGGCGCTGTCCGAAGGGGGAAGGAATGGTCCCGGTGGTACCACGGTGGGTTGGACGGCTTGAAGCGGCCACACAATCACACACACACACTTCGTCGTTGAAGTCTTCCCCAGTCCGGACCTGGCCCGCTACCGTTGAGCTCCACGGACTCGACGCTTCGATTCCCCGCCTGTTGCTTCCGAGTTTCCCGCTCACACTGCTCGCCTTTGCCCCAAAGAGTCCCCCTGGACGGGCCCCCGCATTCCAGCACGCAGGCGTGGAAAACAAAACAAAAAGAAACCCCAGGACGCTGGCCCGCTCGTCCCTTCATCCTCCCCCAAAGGGAGCATCGCTTCGTTTTCGGGGGAGCTGGGTCCCAGACCTCACTCCCCGCGAATTTCTTGGAAGGACGCGTCTGGCCCGGGAGAATGGATAACGTAACACAGTCGGATTTTGTGACATGAATAACGTAACATAGCCGGATTTTGTGACACTGCCCCTCACTTAAGAAGATTCACCCGTGAATATTTAAACTAACTCTTCACAAAAACTCGGCGAACAATAGCGCACAAAAGAAAAAAAATCAAAGAGTACATATACTAAGCAAACCAAACTGCGCTCCGTATGAGATAAGCCGTTCACATTCCAACAGTGGGAAGTTTTCATATTCGGAGGATACAAACGAAGTACGGAGTAAACATAACATACATATACTGGCTTAATAGACAAAAACAAAGCCTCATTACTGAGGCGGACTTACAAGCGGCTTAGGAAATCAGCGCCCACATTTTCGCTGCCCTTGATATGTTCGATAGTGAAAGGAAATTCCTGCAAGAGGAGGCTCCACCTCAGCACTCTACTGTTCAGATGCTTCGCCTGATTGATGTACTTCAGCGGCTGGTGGTCGGTTTGTACGAGGAATTTCCTACCGTAAAGGTATGGACTGAATTTCTGCACTCCCCAGACCAATGCCAAGCACTCCCTTTCGATTGTGCTGTAGGCGGCCTCACGAGCAAGCAGCTTCCGGCTAGCGTAAGCCACCGGATGTAAGCGGCTGTCATGCTGCTGCATTAACATAGCTCCGAGACTTGTGTCGGAAGCATCGGTCCTGAGGACAAAGTCTTTTCCAAAATCTGGGAGTCTCAGGATCGGCGGATTTGCGATCCGTTCTTTCAGCTCGTCGAACGCCGACTGATGAGCGGTCCTCCACTCCACCTGGTTCCTTTCTTTTTTCTTCGTGAGGTCCGTTAGCGGCCCACTGATCTTTGCGTAGTCGGGAATAAAATCCCGGTAGTATCCCGTCAGTCCGAGGAACGCCCGCACCTGGCGCTTGGTGGTCGGCACACTCGCCTTCTCGATTTTGTCGAGCGTCTTTCCGAGGGGGGCGAGCTGTCCTTTTCCGATGCGGTGGCCCAGAAAGTCAATTTGTTCCATCCCAAACTCGCACTTGGTTGGGCGAATGGTCAGTCCCGCTGCTTGGATACGGCCGAACAGTGTCTGCAGTGCAGTGAGGTGTTGCTCCCAGCTGTCGGTAGCCACCAACACATCGTCGTAGTAATGGGCCACGTCTGGGATTCCATCCACCACCTTCCGCATCAGTTTGGCAAATACCGCCGGAGCGGTCTTGACCCCAAACGGCATGTACCGAAAATGGTACAGTCCCGAAGTCGTCGAAAATGCGGTCTTGGGCTGGGAATCGTCGCTGAGTGGGATCTGCCAGTAGCCCTTCACGAAATCCATCTTTGAGAAGTAGCGTTTGTTTCCGACGGCGGCGAAAACGGCGTCGACTCGTGGCATGGGTTCGGAGTCTGGAACTAAGACGCCGTTTAGACGTCTGAAATCGACGCACAGCCGATTTGTTTCGTCCGGCTTCTTGACGAGCAGGACGGGTGCGTTGTACGCAGAGCTGGATCTTTCTATTATTCCGAGCCTGAGCATTTCTTGCACCTCTTCCTCAACCTTCGTGTGGGTCGCAAATGGCAGTGGGTATTGTCGCACATAGATGGGGGTATCTGTAGTCTGCTTCAGCTCGCACTGTATCCATGTGGTTTTTCCCGGAACGTCGGAGAAGATGTTCTCATGGCTGCGCATTACGCGGTCGAGCTGTGACTTTTGCTCAGCACTAAGCTTCGATGAAACTTTCGCGTCTCCGGGGCCCTCCTCTCTCTGGAATGCTGGTAGAGGGATCGGCTGGTCATCTTCGGTTTCCGTCAGTGAGAGAACCGCGCAGGCCTGTCGCTCGTCTTCCTTCTCGATTCCCCGCTCCTCGTATTTCTTTAGTAGGTTAGCGTGGAACAATTTCAGGCCGGTCGCGGTCTGGATCTCGTAGTCGACCTCTCCTGTTTTTCTCGTAACGAGGAAGGGCCCCTTCCACTGCAGCAGAAGTTTGTTGTTGTCCGTGGGGAGCAGTAGGAGCACCTTCTCTCCCGGCTGGAAACTCCGCTCCTTGGTTTTCCGGTTGTAGTATCGAGCGTAACGAGCTCCCGACCTCGCGAGTTCCTCGTGGGCGATTTTGCACGTCTCCTCGAGGCGATTTCTGAGGTCGAGCACGGGTTCATAGGTGGTCCGGAGCTCTGCGTCGAGCTCGACGTTGGTCCACACCTCTCTCAGAATGGCTAGCGGGCCCCGGACGTGGCGACCGTACAACAATTCAAAAGGCGAAAAGCCGAGGCTCGCCTGCGGCACTTCCCGGTAGGCAAACAGCAATGCGGGCAAATACCGGTCCCAATCCTTGGGTCTCTCGGAGCACATTCGCTTCAGCATGAGTTTAAGTGTTCCATTGAACTTCTCCACCAATCCATTCGCCATGGGGTGGTAGGGGGACGTGTGCAACTGTCTTATCGACAGGAGCCGGCTGATCTCTTTCATTAGCTCGGAAGTGAAATTCGAGCCCCGGTCGCTTAATATCTCTCGTGGCATTCCGACCCGCGCGAACATCTCGACCAGGGCCTCTGCCACTCTTTCGGTTTCGATGCTGGGCAAAGCCACGGCGTCCGGGTAGCGAGTCACGTAGTCTACCATTGTCAGTATGTACCGGTTCCCTCGGCCCGATGCCGGAGCCATCGGTCCCACGATGTCGATAGCAACCCTCTGAAATGGGGTATCTATTAAGGGGCTCCCACCCAGTGGGACGCGAGGGACCTTTCCTTTCGGTGTTGTTCGCTGGCACACGTCACACGATAGCACGAACCGCCGTACGTCCGAGCCCAATCCCGGCCAGAAGAACTCTTCCAGGATACGGCTCTTCGTTTTCGCCTGCCCCAGGTGTCCCGCCATAATGCTTTCATGGGCAACCTGCAGCACAGTTTTTCGGTAGGTCTGAGGCACCACGAGCTGGCGCGTCTCTCTCCCCGACCGCTCCCGGTATACTCGATAAAGAAGCCCTTGCCCCTCTCCGGTTGTATAAGTGATCGTGGCCGTCTTTCCCCTGGCCCTTTCCCCAATCCGCTTAAAGCAGGGGCGCAGGGTGTCATCCTCTTCCTGCTCCTTTGCAAAGCTCGGCGTGTCGATGGCCAGCCCTTCGATTTGAGGCACGTGTAGTTTTTTCAATCCAGTTTGTTTTTTCTTACTCTGGGCCCTGGTTTCCACGGCACACACCGGAGTTAGGGGATCTTCCACTTCCGCCCGGGTTTCGCGTCCTGGCTCGTCTTGGCCCTCCTGTGTGTCAAGTTCCGCCGGGTCCTCCTGAACTCGCCCTGTCGGTATCGGGTCGTCCCCCACCTCTACGTCAGTCGCGGGGTCGTCCGGTTCTCTAGCGCCGGGAATATTGCCGAGCACGAGGTCGTACAGGGGCCCGTCCATGCACAGGGCTTTGAGTCCTCCGTTGAAGTAGGGCGTTTTAACGTGGATATGGGCCTCGGGAAGCATTTTCACGGTTCCATCCAGGAGATACACCGGCTTTTTGGTTCCAGTGAGGAGGCCGTCGTCGACCAATCCTCGTCTTACGATGACCGTGTTACTACCCGTGTCGCGCAGAACCGTTATCTTTTTCTGTCCGATTGTGCCCTCAACGACTGGCATTCCCTCGACCAGGAACTTATGACGCGGGGTCATTACCGCGTTGACAACCGGAATTTTCGTCCCATCCTTCAGCTCTAAAAACCCATCCGTGACGTTTCCGTCCTTTCTGTCTTGTCGGGGCATATAGATGCCCGACGCCTGAGGTTTTGTCTGGCCCCGGCAGACCTCCGTCTTATGTCCCTTCCTGCCACACCTTTGACACGTGGGCACCTGTCCGGTGTTGTACAGGCTACGACATTGTGCAGCTTTGTGCCCCGTCTTATTACAGAGGTAGCACCTCATAGCGGGCCTCGGAGGCCCGCCCCCCTCGCTACTTTTCTTCGCTGAGGGTTCGGCCTCGCCTTTCCCGGCTTTCCCCAGGTTACTGCGACCCTGCGCGTCCAAAAATTGGTCGGCCATCTCCAACAGTCCTTCCAAATGTGGCTGTTTTCTTTCCTTCAGGTAGATGGCCAGGGCTGGATGACAACCCTTTAAGAACTGCTCTTTGATGATCAGCTCTCGGAGACCTTCAAAATCTTTGGTCACTGCGGCCAGCTCGACCCACCGGTCGAAGTAGTGGCCAAGCCTGGCGGCGTATTGAGTGGCCGTCTCTCCATCTACTGGCTTCCCATCACGGAATTTATCGCGAAAGCCCTCAACGGTGAACCGGAACCTCTTGAGCAGCGAGGCTTTCACTTTGCCGTAATCGGCGGCATCTACGGGCGGCAATCGCCCATACACACTAAGGGCTTCCCCCGTGAGGCACGTGCTTAGGGCGGTGGCCCATTGGCTTTCTGGCCACTTTTGACTTAAGGCAATTCCCTCAAACCTTCTTATATAAGCGTCGAGGTCATCCTTCCTTTCGTCGAAGGCGAGTAGGAGCTTGTTCGGATTCAATTTCAAAACGCTGTGACCCTCGCCGTCAGTTCCTGCTCCGGATGAGCGGTTCCCCTCCTTCTTGTTCTCAAGCTCTAGCCTCAGCCTCAATATCTCGAGCTCCCTCTCGGCGGCTGCTTTCGCCGCCTCTTGTTCCCGCTCGGTAGCCTCCCTAGTAGCTTCTCGCTCTAGGGCTCTCTCCTCTCTTTGCTTGGCGGTCTCTTCCTCTATCCACCTTTTTAGTTCTGCTCCCGAGAGGTCTAGTTTGGTTCCCAGTGCCACGAGTTTTTCAATTTCCATGTCTGGCCTACCCAAGCTCGCCGTTGGGCGAACTGCGGAACCACACTTCCCTCAAATCACGCGGTTTCTACTCGCAGCCCTCCAAAGGCAAGTCTCCACCATAGTCAGCCAAGTCCTGTCGCGGACGCCAGTTTTGTCACAGGTTTTCTGATATTCTCTGTTTAAACACAAAGGACTGCCGACCAGGCGATAGGTCCACGCCTCGGTGGAGTCTTGCCAATGAAGGGGAGACCACAGTTTTGCAACGAAACGAATTTAATCCTACAAACAAAACAAAAGAAAACACAATAAAGGTAAGCAAGTGCCGAGCTGCGAAAACAACAGGACTCGAACACACTTCACCCGGCCGGTGCACGGGCGGCGAAGATAAATCACTCAACGCACAACGAATTAGGCAAAACCCAAAGTCTACCGCTCAATACAATGCAGTAACCATCTCTTACGCGGGAGCTTCCCCGAACATGAAAAAAAAAACAAAAAAAAAAAACTTCGGAGCTTAAATGTTATCAAATAATACAATCGGACACCCGTGAGAATAAAAACCAAGTACAGAAATACCGCTTCCTTAATTACTATAAAAAGGAAAGTGCGAGTGGAGGGGAAATCTCGTCTCACAGTGTCCGGGAGTGACGGTCTTGCGAGGCGCTGTCCGAAGGGGGAAGGAATGGTCCCGGTGGTACCACGGTGGGTTGGGCGGCTTGAAGCGGCCACACAATCACACACACACACTTCGTCGTTGAAGTCTTCCCCAGTCCGGACCTGGCCCGCTACCGTTGAGCTCCACGGACTCGACGCTTCGATTCCCCGCCTGTTGCTTCCGAGTTTCCCGCTCACACTGCTCGCCTTTGCCCCAAAGAGTCCCCCTGGACGGGCCCCCGCATTCCAGCACGCAGGCGTGGAAAACAAAACAAAAAGAAACCCCAGGACGCTGGCCCGCTCGTCCCTTCATCCTCCCCCAAAGGGAGCATCGCTTCGTTTTCGGGGGAGCTGGGTCCCAGACCTCACTCCCCGCGAATTTCTTGGAAGGACGCGTCTGGCCCGGGAGAATGGATAACGTAACACAGTCGGATTTTGTGACATGAATAACGTAACATAGCCGGATTTTGTGACAGTACCATTCACCCGTTGTCCCGAAGGAACCTCGACGTGCTAAAAGGCAAACTCCTTTTGTCAGTAGTTATAGATTTCAAAAGAAACTGAAGTGGAATATTCTCGGAACCTTCTGCTCTCATAAAGTTTAGTTGCAAAACTTTATATTTTTTTTGCTGTTTATTTTGTAGCTGTGACATCGAAATTCGGAGTTTTTTTTGGATAAATACAAATTGACACAAAATTTAACGGTGAGCGTTTTTCGGATTTATTTTGATTTATCTAAAACACGGACCCCTGGCCTATAACGTATGTATGCAATAATAATGCCAAGTAAATATTCAAGACGAGTAATATCAGGATACTATAGAGACTAACAAATGCGAAACACTCAAGATAAATATATCATTCTTTCGGAAACCAATACATCAACAAGGACTTGGAAAATAATTCGAAGCTTCTGATTTATATTTGCACATAAGCGTTGTAAGGAGTGCGATTTCACTCTAAAAAAAGCCCGTGCGCCTACTTTCCCGCACAACACTCGGAGAGCCAATCACCGCAGCTTACGGCGGCAGCTCAGCGAATGGCGATGCCGAAACATATGTTTAGACCAAAAAGCGCAGTCTGAGTTGTGACTTTAAGCAAGGCAAAACGTCACGCTTGCATTGCTTAATGTCGCAACTCAGACTTCGTTTTTTGGTCTAAACACGTGTTTCACCATTGCCATTCGCTGAGCTGCCGCCGTAAGTTCCAGTGATTCACTCTCCGAGTGTTGTGCGGGAAAGCAGACGAACGGGCTCTTTTTAGAGTGTACAACGATCGTAATACCCAACCTTTATTATTATTATGTTTATCAATATTACCAACTAAGAAGCATTTAGAGGTCCCTATATTTGGAGCCTAATTGGAAAGTCGCACTACAATTCTCGGATGTGATTTCGAAGGAACTGCTGCTTCTTACACCTACATCATTAGAAAGAAAGACTGCGAGTTGCCAATACCAACTTGTGCTCTCAGGCAACATGCAATAAAAATGTTTTCTTTAGACAATACGGAATGATCAAATATCTTTCTTCCAGTTTTTATTTTTTGTTTGTTTGTTTTAGAGACGTATGGACATACACTGTAAGGTTCCGTACAGTTTTCTTATTTTTTTCTTTTTCTTAGATGCAACATAGTTCCTTTTTGGTTGTTGCAATAACACCACATTTGCAGTGAGATATCCTATCGAAACCATAAGGGTGACCAGATGAGGCAATCACTTGAAGCGTGAAGAGAACGTAGCCCTACGCTCACTCACCAGTAGAATGAAGATGTGAGCGCGCGAGACGTCGCTTGCAAGATGGAGATGTAATTCTCTCAGAATGTTCATCCGTCACCACACTCTCGTACATTCTTCATGTTTTTTGTTTTGTTTTGTATTTGTAATCGTTCACTTTTCCTCTCGACTTCAAAGAACATCCGGAAGTGTATTCCGCGGCTGCCACGGAGGCGTCATTTATCATAATTTATTTCAGCCCCTTCCCCGAACTTTTAAGCGATCGCTTAGCGTCTGGGAAGTCACGCTCTTAGATTTAACAATCTGCAGCAAAGAAAACATACGCATCACGCGCGAATGTTTTAAGAAAAAGAGCCAGGGACGCTGTAATTTATTTTCCACGGGACTCACGGGGGTCGTGCGCCTTGAAATTTACAATCATGGTCTTACAAACCCAAGCAGGGTGTGCTCAGCGCCTAGAGCCACCGACAACTTAAGAACTCATTTGATTATCTCTCCGCAGCCGTTTAGCCTCAAAGATCCTCTTAACGGGCTCGCTATCACAGATAAAAAAAAAAAAAAAAACAGCAACAACAATAACAACGCCGTTAGATTGTTGCAACTCGGTGTCCAGCAATTACGCGAAATCGGTCTGCAATTCACGCCGATCCACGCTGAGGTCTCAGAAACCTCCCCAACTCCCGCTCGCGCTGACATCAACTGGTTGAACCGAGCACGCTGTGGAGACGGCACGAAGAGCTACTTTTCCTAATGACGCCTCCGATTGTCTTTTCGTCGCGAAGCAACAAAACAAATGGCTCCAAGTCGTCCATATGGCACTCCGGGTTCTGAGTTCCGTCGGCCGAGAGAAAGCGTTGCACACAGACGCACCACGCGCAGCCGACCGTGAGAACGCGAGTAGTGTGAACTAGTGCGAAGAGCTAGCTGCACGGGCTTTCTCTTTGAGACAAGAAGTGCTAGACTTTCAAGGCTTCTCGAATCATGTATCTCCCATTTCGTACTTTGGTGTTGCTCGCATTTGCTTTTTTTACCCTACTGCGGTAAAATTGCGTCTGGATAAAAGTAAGTTTCGATTCAGGGTATATTTTGATCCGCCGTGTCACGCAAAAGCATGGATGTTCTATTGGAAGAGCCACATCCCCTATAGTATAGCAACCTTCGCTTAAAAGCACACGTGATATATCACAATTAAGTTTTAGTAACTTCTTGCAAACGAAGAGAGTGTATTTTAATGCAACGGTGGTCCACACAAAAATGCAGGCACGCTTATTATTTCTTATTACTGGACTTTATTGGTGTATTGCGGGTAATGCCGTTTTTTATCGAGTAATAGGTCCTTGCGTCTACTTTCCTGTAGTACTCACATACCCCAATCATTGCGCGCTGCATATAAAAATGCAGCGAATAACGAGATTGAAAACACGATTCTCCGTAAAAATGCGATCTGAGCAGAGAGCATTTTCCCGTGAAGACGTCACCTCTGTCCCGTAAACCGCTAAATTTTTTTTTCTGCCGATCGCGGTTTTTCGTGTTCCCCGTGCTCTCCAGGAAACGAGACCCGCAGGCTTTGTTCCTAAAGGGCACGGCTATTACTCGAGCAACAACGGTATAGGTTATCCATCACCTGCGAAAATATGTCTTCCTGAGAAAAGCGTCGATGTTGCCTGAATATATGTATACGTCTTAGTAATGCATGCACAAGCACGTGCTACATGTGCAACATGATGGTCCAAGACTTTACACCCCGATTTAATTCAGTTCAGTTTATGAATTCTCAAAGGCGCTTCAATGAGGGGCATTACATACGGGAGGCCGGGCGGCGGAGGGACTGTTGCGACGGCTCGGTTACTGGGCAGCGTCCTGCAGTTTGCTTCTAGTAAAAAAGAAAAAGAACACTGAAGGTTCACTTTGTTAGTATTTTTGAGGATTGGCGCATGTAAGAAATAGTGTTCAGTCCGGATGATTGCCCGAGCTGGCTACTTTCGTGCGGGTACCGAAAAATATGACATGGTAATGCAGGTGATGGTGATGATGATGACGATGATGTACCTCATAACAATAATTATGATAGAACCCGTGTTCAGAAAGCAAGATTTATTAATCGGTGGTCGTACAGACGCTGTTGTCGCATGTTTATTCTCCACGAAGTTGAGATTCAAGAGATTGATTAATGTTTCGCTCTGTAAATATCTCAAATTGCAAGACCAGGAAATGTATTTCCACCTCAATGCACAATAAAAAAAAAAGCCAAAGGGCTTTTTTATTGTTCATTAATTTCCATAAAATGGTATATTCTTCGAATAATTCCGGCAAATATACGGGTATGCGAAACATGTGTTTAAATATTCTACATCACCACAGCTGCAAGCTTATTTGCTTGTCTACAAATGCCTTAATTTATCTATTCATTCTGCGATTTCGAATGTTGCCTGAACTACTAATTATTTTAACAGGACAGTTTTTTTTTTCTCGCGTTCTTCGTTTACATCCGACAATAGTGTTTACACCGAGTATTGCTCCAGGAAGACGTCCCCACCTGCCCCATTTTTGTTTCGAATACGCGGCGGTGTGATATTATTCGAGGGTTACTGTATACGGAGCCGAAACAAAAGTGAATAGCGTCAAGGAG